TGAGGTAAATAAAATTGGTAATAAAATAAACTATTCAACTTTAAGTATGACATTTATGTTGCTGTCCTTTTCGGGATTTTCCTCTTGTTTCTTAGGGTAATGGTTTTAACTACGACTTCCACGAAACATACACTTTCAAAATATAATAAATACATTTCTTTCATTTCCTAACATTTTCTATAAAATTTATTTGTACATGACAGTCCTTTATTTTTGTAATAAACTGTGTCTACGTTTGTAAATGCACCAACTAAAAATGTATCTGTAATAGGGTAAATGTTATAAGAACGTTTAGAATATTGTACCAAATTGTAAGATATTTTATATGAAAAATAAGTAAAATTCTATAGATATTAAAATGATTTGTTCCGCGGCAGTACGAAACATCTCAAAAATAAAAGTATATCTTTGTTGTCGACATATTCAGATTTCCTGTTATAATTTACGATTATTTCGCCCCCTTTTATCATATTCTTTCGTTTCGTTTTCTGTGAATATAAAACCCATTAGATATTACTTTTTGCACTTTCATTGATGTTTGGTCGATAATAAGGAAATTACTCGGTCTAATCTTAATTTAGAACTTCTATGTCCATAATAAAATTTACTTAACCAATTAACATATGGTGTAATTTCTTAACCACTGATATCGGACAGATAAATCATTCCAAGTGTAAATGTGACTAACTAAACTCCATGCATGTGGACATTTTTCATAAAATTTTTTAAAGGGTGTCTAAAATTTTTTGCCAGTTAGTTTGCTGTAATGTTACCTCCAACCCTAGACTCTTTACAGATTTTCTTTAAGTGTCTCAGAAAATCTAAATACTTCTCAATAGAAACAATACAATTATATAATTTGTTAACCAAATCCAACAGTTTTTCACCCAACTGTTAGAAATATATATTAGCTTATGATGGATATATTTTTCTACTTACGTTTTATAAAACTCCACTTAGGCATAAGCAAGTCCCATATATAATAAATTGTCCACTGATCTGAAAATAAAAACATTTCCGTAACTATAATTGCGAAATAAAAAGTATTTCTAAATTTTAATATTTTAAAAACATAATTCGTTTACATACATACGTATATTTTTTTCATTACAAAATTGCTACGGCAATATTTTATTCGCCATTTTTTTTTTTTAATTTTACAAATTGAATGGAGAACAGAAATAAAACAGGTCTATTGAACGACAAGGCGGCAACACCAAATTGTCCAGACTTAAAGTCGACTCTGTAGTGAATGACAAATGTATGTGGCTATCACCCGTTCGGCTCCTGCACCATGAATGCCTCGGAGAGGATTCGAAATTCACAATTTAGTGATATATAGTATTATAAAACAACAACAGCAGCAAAAATACCCGACCATTTTGTATGTGTTTGATTGTATTTTTAAATGCCCAAGCGTTTTTTTGTTATTCTTGTCCTTATTTTTTTGCATTTCAATTTCAATTGTTATGCCATCGCATTGTATTTACATACGAGCTTAATCTACATTCGCTGAATGTGGGAGTTTAGTTGAATATTTAAAACAAAAAAAAAAAAACAGCCAGGTTGGAAGAAAGTACTTGTCGAGGACTTCCTTTTGAAAACACAGAAAAGTTTTTACGATAATCCAGTTTTTATTTTCATTATTTAAAACCAACCAACCAACGCACACATACAACCACACAAATACATAATTTAGGTCAAGTAATTTCCTACTCAATTGCCTTTTTTCCCCCAGCTCAGCTGAAATTGTAGCTCTTCGTTGGTCGGTGGTGTCGAAAGTTTTGTGTATGTAATGTGAGTGAGATTTATGCGAGGCTACTTTGGACAACAATTGTTCTGCAGTTTATAAAATAAACTGAAAATATTTTCAGTGTTAATAGATAGATATGGAGGGGAATTCGATTACTATGAAACAATAAAGAAAATCCTGTTTTTTCTTACAAATATTATTGCAATGAAAACTGATTTATTCGTATTAAAGTTTAAATTATTTCAGAATGTATACCATATACAGAAAATACCCAAAACTCTACACAGAATTCAGAAAAATGTCTTAGTATTATTGTATTGTGACAACTCTTTCCACATCCCTCGTATGGCTAAAGGTAGGTCGGCGGCATTTGTTTTGAAGTTTTAAGTATATTTGCCACAACATCAACAACGATAGCAACAGCAGCAGCAACGGCGGCGGCAAAGGCAACCACATCTTCCACTTAGCTCACATAAATATAAATTGCATTGTTTTTATAGCCACCACACAAGAACAACGAACGTAGTATGGGAACAGCATACATTAACGCCAGCAAAAGCAACAACAACAACAACGACAACTAAACTAACAGTATAATTTCGACGGAAAAACGCGAAAATTACCAACTTTAATAACCAGAATGAGAACTAGAACGAAAACGAAAATGAGAATGGCATCAACAACAACAACAACAACAACGAGACCAAGTGCTAATGGTGATGGCAATGAGCAGACGATTGCCAGCAACAACAGTTTGTAGGCTGCGATGACATTAGAAGGATAGTAGTAGAGTTTAGGCTTTCAAAAGCTACCACTGTTGGCCACATTAGTTAGTACTGATGCCAACCAGGCAGCCATTCAGGCAGGCAGGCAAACTGTCACCCATAAGATTCAACTTAAAAAGCTGATTAAAGCAACAATTCTGGCAAAGCTGTTAACGACACTGTTGGTCTCATTATCTAGCAAGGATTTACAAGGATTCAAAGAACAGAAACAAGAATTTCGTAAAAAAACACTGATGAAGTTCTGCTTGAGTAACTAATGTTATTTGAAGAAGAAGATGACGGCGAAGAAAAAGCAACAACAACAAGAACAGATTGAATTCCCAAGGGGATTAGTAGAAAATTCGTAAATGTGGCCTAAATTGTTTTTAGCTATGCAATCTCCAAAGTAAATCGGTAATATTGAAAGTGAAATTTATTAATTTGTGTGAAACCTCATTTCAGAATGTTCGTCAATCTTTCATTATGCTTACATGCAATGAAAACATTTTACAAGACAAGCAAAATATATGCGAAAACTTTTTCAATATTAGGTTAAGCAAGAAAAGAAGCCTTCAACTGGCTGAGACGATCATGAAATACGCTACATACAACTTGGAAACTTGATTTTCATTCCGAACTCAATTCAGCATTTCGTGACGATCGTTACTTAATTGTGATCTGTTTTTTATTACAATGGCCGATTGTTATATCGATTCAGCTAAGGCCAGAGGAACTTTTCTCACATTAAAACGAGTAGGGTTCCCCTTCTTGGACAGAGTACTAATGGTGTGCCGAACACACATCTTAGTAAATTAATAAATTGGTTCCAAATCAATGCTATACAAATTTAATTGTAGGGTATAACAAGAAGTGTACTAAATTGGTTTCCCAAAAAATGGAATATTCATTTCCTACGAAAAGGTTAATATCTTGAAAGCAATACCCACAAAAAATAAACAACAAAATATGCTCTTTTGCTGATTCAACAACAATATATTGTATACCAAATAAATGAAACACTAACACTCTCGCAAAAACACAATATGACAACAACAACAGCAAAAAACCCTTACAAGTATTTCAAGGAATTTCATTTATGCTACGTTTTCTCATAACACATCATAAGGAAAATGAAAATGAAAAAATAAGCAACATCAGCATCGGTTAGATTGTGTAGTGTCATATGAAGTAAAAACAATATTCAATATTATATGAGAGTATGTGTGTGTGTGCGTGTGTATTGTATGTGTGAAGCCCTTTTGTGGCTGTAGATTATGTTTGGAGTTAGTCACATAACAACCACAACTAATCGAAAGTGGATAAACTTTAAATAGCTGAAATGTTTATGGATGAATGAACAGATATTCAACTAAACTTCCATAACAATCTCGTTTTACACAACAACAGCGACAAAAACTACCCAAACATATAGACTAAAGAAGCCCACAACAATGTTCGCCAACCAACCATCCATACAGAACCTGTCATATTTAACCGAAAAAAAGGAAAATTCTCGTCGACGCCGTAACAAGTACATTTTGTGGCCATAAATAAGTTGATAACATGATCTACGCATAGCGAATATAAATTAAGGCCTCAAACGCAACCAATTACGCCCCAGCCAACTAAAAGAGAGCTGAATTTGTAGTTTGCCAGTGACGTTGGATGATTTGATGTGTATTGGTAAGAGATTGTTTGAAAAGGATGTTCTTTTGATGACGGATTGGAAAAGTTATTATTTCTGTTTTGTTAGCTCTTTAGAAACTAACATGGTCTGATTGAAAAGGGTTATCATTGGTAAATTGGGATTGGGGATTTTTAGGTTATTATAAACTACAAAGGAAGGAATGAAACACATTCGTATAAAACGTTTTACATGTTAAATGTTGGAAAAGTCTAAAATGACAAATAACTTTAAATGGGCAAGTCTCATCAGTTATTTATCAACTTTTCAAATGTAAAGCAAATATGTAGTTTATCATCGACTTCGTAGAAAAGGTTTATTTTTATAACTTGTGAATTGTTTAATTTCATTAACTAACAGAGAAAGCAAAGTTAAAGTCAAAAAAGGTTTAATACATATTGTAATTTTTTACACCAGGTGTATGTGTGACGTCAGCAGTTATACGCTCCCATTGTATGGCGAATATATTCAAAGAGGCGTATATATTAGCACCACCAATATTTGTTACTAAATTATAAACCAAAAATTATTAAAAATTGGTTTATATATGACTATGTTATTATCTTAAGTTTTTATAGGCTTTATATTTATCAATATAAAACATAATTTAAGAACTAGGAAATAAAAAATGTAATTATATATATCTAGTATAGAGGGTAATGTAATAATCTTTTTTTATTAAATTTCTTTAATTTTTCAGTTAAATACTCATATAAATTTTAGCAAATAATCTTTACTTCTTAATCTGGGCAATAAATTTGCTGGTTGGCATTCTCGTTCACTTACGTTTCATTTGCCCTCTTTTTGTGTTCTTAACGAAAAGCATATAAGAAGGTAAAATATGAGCCAGCTCCTTGCAGTATCTGTAGCAATGATTTTTTTCTTCTTATTATTATTTCTTACAAACGGACACATTTTGCAACTCACCGTCACCACAGTGGCCAAACTAACGTTAAAATAATTATAGCCAGTTAATGAAAAAGGTTTTTGATTCAATTCAATCGAAAGAATTATAAGTTTCATTAGATCAATGCTGTCAGCTGTTTTTGTTGATTTCAATATTATATCCTCCCAATTGGCCATGTAATAGCAGGAGCTCATCTTGTCGGTCTGTGGTAAAAAAATGTGATGATATTTTGTATTCGTGAAAAATTGATTTAATTACCGTTTCAATGAGTTGCGAACCCAAGGTGCCAAACACCAATAATTCTACAATTTTACCCATTATCCAGGTAATGAAGGTAATATTCTTGGTAGTCATGCCCAGCTGGTGTTTAAATGGTAATAAATATAATGAAGAAAGAAAGACAAACAGAAATATGCACGTTTTTTTATAAAGGAAGAGACAAACAAACAGTATACACGTATTTAAAAAGTAGGGAGGCCATCACCCACACCTTGAGGTCAGGGTTCAAATACTGGGAAAAATACATTTCAGGATACGATCTCATTTCTGGATATTTATGTTTTGTAAACATTTTATATACAGATATCCATTACTGGATATCGAGATTTGATCATATTAGACAAAAAAAAAATGATTTTCCCCAAAATAAAGATTCGACAAAATAGATCAAAAATAGATACTCGTATTATAAACCAATCCTTACCGTTGCTGCCTTAAATGCCAAAACACACAACAATACCGCACTAAACGCCATCATTACAAATATACAAAACGAATATTGCTTTTGAAATTTTTGAGCAAAATCATTGTATTCCACATTGCGTTTAACGATTTCAATGAACTCTCTGCGATATTCCCCCAAAACCTTGTCGCTACGAAGTTTCATGTCGGATGCAACTTTGTTTTGTAATTCCTTGAGATCCGATTGCAAATGTAAGTAACGGGCATTCAGATGTAAAATAATGGTGGCCAATAGATTCGATTCGGCAGCCAAATGTGAGACCACAGCTACACCTATCCACAGGGTGAGAACTAATGTCGGCACATAAAAATACCACATTTCAAGGTCGTAGTGGAATATGGTTTTAAAGGGTAACAAATGGGCATGGCTAAAGAAACCCAAAACGGGCACCAGAAAATACGTAACAAGTGTCAGCATATAAGCGTAGGAGCATATTTTTGTCGGCAACAATTTACGTTGTATATCCATGTAGGTTTCAATGTTGTAGGATCTGAAACAAACACCCGAATTCACATTTCAGTGAAATAATTTTCCGTATGCACACTTACTTTTCCATATAAATTTTCTCATAAAATTCATTGAGAAATTCTCGAAAACTATTCTTGTACAATCCCTTGTTGTAGATTCGCAAATGAGCCTCCACCAGTATCAAATAGGTAGCCATACCCTCCAGCGCCAAACCAATGTCATTGATATTATTGACCACAAAATGCATTTCGGCCTCATTTTGATAGCAAAAAAACAGAAAGCCCAGCACCAAGGTGACCTTATCATAGATTCTTGTAAATCTTTTCGCATTCATTTTCATGGGCCAGCTAACATTGACAAAGAATAAACGTATTTCCCATGACAGCGGAGCAATTTCTCCATTAGCTAGCAAAGGTCGATGAAATTCCATTACGACAGAAAGAAGATCTTTGGTCTTAACAGGACAATAAACTTTGTGTTTATGCATCCAGCCAATAGAATATCCTATTTATATGGTACAAATTCCATTGAGGATTTATTTGTATTTTTCTTGTAAACAAAAGGGGACAACAAAAACAATAACAGAATTTTAATAACTCAATTAAATCATTTAACAAACTTCAGCCGGGGCAATGTGAATTTAACAAATGTTTTTGCACAATATTCACCTGAGTTTAATATCCGCTACAATAAAATGTGGCATGTGTTTTGTGATCCAAAAGTTTGTAAGAAGTCACAATATGTGTTGTTAGGAATAGAGGTCAGTATCTCAATGGAATTTGCCAGATATTAAGAGATTCTGAATAGACCCTCAGTGTAAATGTAGGAATATTTTACTGCACTTGTGATTATTCTGTTCCCTTAAATGTATAAATCTAAATTGTCATTCTAATAAAATTACCCTATTGTGTGTGGTACTAATCAGTCGTTACCCAGTTGTTCAAAAAATATCAATTGTCTGCTATTATATAGTTATATAGCTAGTTACTTGTTGATCTAGTTACTTCATACCCCAAAACGGAACACAAAGTAGACTGTTGGATTTTTTTGTCAATTGAAAAAGTTGTCTACGCGTATCATACCAATTCAGTAGTTACTGGTAATACAAAGGGTAATGAATCGACTATCGAAATGACTGTATACTGGTAACGCAGGCAGGGGACAATTGACTTCCCCAATGACATACCCATGTTAAATTCACCAGTCTAGGGCATGAAGTGGTAACTAGTGGTACTTACAGGTAATTAGTAAAGTATCTAGTTCATCACCAGTTACTCGAACTACTGGGTACAGTCCGCCATAGATTTTTTTTTTAAATTTGTAATTGTTGTTTTCAAATTAAATACCGGCAACCTAGTCAACTATGTATGTGCATAAACATAGTTGACTGTAAATATTTTGTGCATAGTTGATCAAAAATAAATGAAAAACAAACTTTAAGGCGGAAATACTCACTTTTCTTTCTTTTTTATAGTTTTTTCCCCTAACTTTATTTTGTCGATGATGATGGGCTGTAAAATAGCAAACCCGGAAATAGTTGTGAAAATTTAATTGTACTCGAGGCACAGAGGGGTAAAAACAAAGTTTGATTGACGTCAAAATCTAGACAACTGGGAGTGGGAGAAACTGACACTGACGCTTCACATGTTTTATGAAGTATGAACAGAAAATTGCATGAAAAAATTGATAAATAGTTTTTAGCCTATTTTAGGTATGCCTAACGGCCATTTGAAATTGTTTGGCAAGAAATTACAAACTGACCAAATAATTGAAATGTTCCAGATGAAATCATTTTTAGGTAAATTTATAAAATCAATGAACACATTAGCACATATTGGAAACACAAACAATACCTCACATACATACATATGTAATTCTTCAACCACAATGTGGGTGGGTGGTTACGTTTAGTTCCTATGTAAAATTGTTGGAAAAAACAAAATCGTGTGGAAATTTATATGAAAAAACAACAGAATTGATGACTCATATGCCCACATTCATCTTTAGAAAAGGGCAAAGGCAAACAATGCACATTGAACTGATGTGTAGTTCAATGTTTCCAATTTTAAAATAACAAAAGGAAAACAGCTGTTTGAAAATCCAAATACCTTTTTTGGATATTGCCTATTTGTGAAATATTAAAATATTATATGTCTACATTTTACTCTCTGGTTATATTGGTTATATTGTTAACGATGAGCGCCGGTGTGAAAGATTCTTAATGTTCTTGAAATATAGACCATTCAACGAATTGTATAAATTAAGAAAATTAAAAAAAAAACTACACACTATCGCTTTCTGTTGTAAAAGCTTTCATAAAATAAACATTTTAATGTTCATACAATACCCTAAATAAATCAACATTCTCTTGGACAAACTTGACGCATAAAGAACTAGGATAGATTATGTGCCATAGGGATGACCGTGATATCATGGAAATAAATTCTTTTTTAGAAGCCAAAAGTTCGATAAATGTAAACTTATTTGAGAAGCAATTCGTGTTAAAATTTTCCAAAATATGTATGCGAAAACAAAAAGCTCTTCCAAAAATTGAACAGTTTTCCAATAAACTAAAAATCTCAAAATTTCCCAACAGACAACACTAACCACATGTATACACAATCTCCTGAGTTTTGAAGTAAAAACAAAAAACAATTTTCTTTTTGACAAAATAAAAACATTCCAAACTCATTAGTATTCATTTTTGTTTTAATAATTCTAAATATTTTTTGGGGAATTTTTTCATCATCGTCTTTCAGCGTTTCCTAAATTATTCCAGAGTTGAATTTTTGGCAATTAGATAAAATGCATACAATACAACTTTTAATGTAATCAACAATTAAAACTTGTACTTGTTTTGTTGTAGTTGTTGTTGTCGGTATGTATAGTTGAAAATTTTTGTTGTTGCATGTTATGGGTCTAGAGGTCTGGTTTGTAGTATATGATGTTCCATTCATTCAAATGAATGTGTTGGTGTTGTTGTTGGTGAAGATATGTATATGGTAGTGTGTGTATGTGTACTGGACATATACATGTGGTTGTTATCATACTCCCCAGCCATGTTATGACTACAGCGATATAATGTTGCTACTACTGCTGCATTTGTTGTTGTTGATGACGATGCTTCTAGGATAAACGAGAACGTTGTTCGTTGGTTGTGTTTGTGGTAGTTTTGGCAACGGCACTACAAGATCGAATATTATTCAAGAGCAAACGAAAAAAAACTGGCATGCCAGTGAAATGATACGAAAGTGTCAAATATTAATATTTTGAGTTTTATTTTTTATATTGGTTTGTGGTCAAAAAAGGTGATTTTCCAATTTTTTTTTCAAAGTTCCGCCAAATTTTAATATTTTGAGTTTTATTTTTTATATTGGTTTGTGGTCAAAAATTGGTGATTTTCCAATTTTTTTCAAAGTTCCGCCATTTTATTAATTGTTGTGCGAAGTCAATAATCCTAGTTCCTGCGAGAGCCAGACATGTTCTCTTTCTAACACCGTTGGAATTTTCGTATTCTAACAACAACAATATATTGTAAATTATTTTTCTTCCTTTTTAAATCTTCAAATATACAGTGGTGGCCACAGAATTAAAACATTTACTGTGGTAAACATTTTTTGATCAGCCCTCGATTCGTTTGAAGTATTTTTGAAAATTTTTTAATTCAGAACACTTCGATATACTGCACTTAAGAGATTTAGTGTGGAAATGGAAAATTATTTCATGCAATTTTTCCATAAATAACGGTTTTTATGAAAATACATCGACTTTGAAGTGGCCATATAATTAAAACATTGTGTAATTTTTTACTTTACTGCATTTTTTTTTAATATTTTTTAAAAAAGCTCTTTAATTTAGTTAAATTATGTAAACTAAGCACCGATAAAATCATTTACTGATAAAAATTTTTGAAAAAAATCTGTAACATCTATCAAATTGCCAAAAATTTGTACAGTACACCTTACATTCAGAAAATAACCCTTATTATAGAAAATAAAGGTCCGAATGCACCAGAAATTGCTAGAATTAGTAAAAAACAATAAATAATTCTCAAAATAAATAAATATTTGAAATAAAAACTTAAAAAATGGGAATTAACCTAAAGGAACGATTCAATTTCAATAGCCTTTATTGAAGAAGGCCGGAATATTTTTGCAGTATGTGAGGAAATATCGATTGATATTGGCATTTATTACATCAAATCGATTGTTCGAGTAGTACAGAATATATTTTATCAAAAAATATACCAGTCACAACAGAAAGAACAGAGATCAATGCCTATGTTGACGAGTAAAAGATTCCGCCACACAGCAGCATTTTTGATGCTCAACACAAGACTTTAAATATTTGTCAAATTGTAAAATTTTTCTTTCTTTTAGGCTAAAATAGATTAAATGGGCATTATTCTCTCCAAAAAATATTATTTTGGAAAAATATTGTCATGTTCAATAGATTTGAAGGGTCAAGAGTTAACCATCAAACATGCTGCTGTGTACCAGAAACGTTTTCTCGTCAACATAGGTGTTGATCTCTGTTCGTTCTGTTGTGACTGATAAATTTTTTGATTAAATATATTCTGTACTACTCGAACAATCGATTTGATATAATAAATACCAATATCAATCGATATTTTCTCACATACTGCAAAAATATTCCGGCCTTCTTCAGTAAAGGCTATTGAAATTGAATCGTTCCTTTAGGTTAATTCCCATTTTTTGAGTTTTTATTTCAAATATTTATTTATTTTGAGAATTATTTATTGTTTTTTACTAATTCTAGCAATTTCTGGTGCATTCGGACCTTTATTTTCTATAATAAAGGTGATTTTCTGAATGTTAGGTGTACTGTACAAATTGTTGGCAATTTTGATAGATTTTACAGATTTTTTTCAAAAATTTTTATCAGTAAATGATTTTATCGGTGCTTAGTTTACATAATTTAACTAAATTAAAGAGCTTTTTTAAAAAATATTAAAAAAAAATGCAGTAAAGTAAAAAATTACACAATGTTTTAATTATATGGCCACTTCAAAGTCGATGTATTTTCATAAAAACCGTTATTTATGGAAAAATTGCATGAAATAATTTTCCATTTCCACACTAAATCTCTTAAGTGCAGTATATCGAAGTGTTCTGAATTAAAAAATTTTCAAAAATACTTCAAACGAATCGAGGGCTGATCAAAAAATGTTTACCACAGTAAATGTTTTAATTCTGTGGCCACCACTGTATATGTCCAATGTTACAAACCTTAACAAACATTAGTATTCATTTACCAGCCAATTTAAAATCTTAAAAATAAAAAAATTGAGAATGGGGGTCCCTTAAAAGCTTAAGTAATCCTCAACCTTTAACATTTATTGATGCATGAAAGCAATAAATCATAATAAGGTTTACAATGTTACTATTATTATTATTTTTTAAATTTCAC